ACGATGGTCAAAAACAAGCAGGCGGAGGGGGAACAACATACCAACGGGGGGAGGGAGGGGGGGTACTTCTAGCCGTGCATGACGTAGCTATTAGACCATCACCTCGCATCCCCTAGAAAACCGACGGAGTACGCCGAATTCAAACCGGATCAGGCTAGCACATTACCAAGCGCGAAGCGCCCTGAGGCATTCGGTGAGTCGCGTGGAGGGTGCGCTGCATCTTGCTAGGGGTGTTCGGCATCTTGTGCTTACTTACTCGCATACGGATGACAGCAGCGAATGACTTCATTTATTTCTGATAAAAAACCGGGAGGGGATGAAAAACATATTTTCGCATTTCCCGCTGTCAGGAAAGCCCTTTGAGTTTTAAAGACGCCAATTGTTTCGGCCTTCTTTAGACTGCAGCACGGACGGTGCATCCCACCACAAGGAAAAAAGGCAAAAAAAAACGCTGGTAGTTCGCAGAAACGCTGGTGTCGAGAAAACGAGGTCCTCCCGATGGGCTAGTTATCCTGTGGCGGTAGGATGTCACTTTTTTTTTTGGTCACGTCATCACGGACCATTGGCCACACAAAAAAACAAGAAAACAACAACAAGGACGAGGACGACCAAGATGGCAACAGCATCAGCAGCAGCAGCAACAACAACACCATCACCATCCACAACAACATCAACTACTACTACAACAACAAACTCACGTTGACCGGTTGCATGAAGGTGGCGAAGGCCTCTCGGATCCCCTCCGTCGCCTCCTCCAGCCCCTCGAGAAACCCTTCCACTCCCCTGAGATCGCCCTCCCCCTTCCTCCTAAGTAAACCCTTCTTCCTAGTCCTGCTGCTGCTGCTGCTGCTGCTGCTACCGTCCCCGTCGTCGGCCCCCGACTCCCCTCCCCTCTTTCTTCTCCTGCTCTTCTTGTTTCTCCTGCTCTCAAGCAGCCCGCCACCAGCCTCGCTGATTTCGTCCAGCCTGCACGAGCCGTATTTGTGTTGGTTAGGCAAGAGGCGACGAAATAAGGACAGAGAGGTGTTGCCATTGGTGGAAGGGGGGGGGCGGGTACTCATAGCCGTGCATGCAGTAGCCGTTAGACCATTGACTTCGTATGCCGGGTTCTCACCGGACCAGGTTCTCACATCACCAAGATCGAAGCGCCGTGAGGTATTCGGCGAGTCCCATGGGGGGCGTTGGTGGTGGTGGGGGGGGTGTACTCATAGTCGTGCATGCCGTAGTCGTTAGACCATTGACCTCGCATCCCTACAAAGCCGGGACGGGGCACGCCAGGTTCTCACCGGACCAGGTTGGTGGTGGGGGGGGGGGGGCGAAATCCTCCATAACATGCATTCCCAAAAATAATCAATGACCAAAAAATGACGTCCATGCCCCCAAACCCATCGGAAAAACCCCCAACACTTGGGTGCCCCTGTGTTCCCTTGTTTCCCTGAGGGAAAACAAACTACGGAAAAACATCTCCCCTTCAAAAATGAAAAGGGGGGGGGGGGGGAGGCCCAAAAATTTAAAAAACCACCCCCCCCCAAAAGGAGCAAAAAAAAATTCCCCCCCCCCCCAAAAAAAAAACCTTTCCCCAACCCCCCAAGGCCAAAAAATGGGCCGGAAGGGGGGGGGAATCCCCCCCTACTTTGTAAAAAAAACCGGGGCCCAAAAAACCCCAATTTTTCCCAATCTTTTAAAGAAAAACCCCTTTTTTTCTCCCCCTATTAACGCCGGGGGCTTTCTTAAAACCCAATGGGAATTCCCTTGGCTTAAGTCACCCCAAAACCCAACCCAAGGGGGAAAGGGGGGGGGGTATCCCAAAGCCCGGAATCCCGA